CCTTGACCAATTCCACATCTTTTGGGGCTTTCTCTGTAGATGGTAAAAATTTCTTCCCTCCGCTGGTCTTGTTGAGCCCCTCAGCTTTTTCAAATCTCATACACTGCCCCTCAGCTGGAATATTCTCAAAACTGCACAGGTATGTGTAGAGACTGACGTGCCCAGCAGTTTAAGTATTAACAGGACACGTGAGAACTGAGGTTTGCAATATAGAAGTGGTAAACATTCAGTTTGGTTGCTAAACTTAGACCCACTCACTCTAGCGAGAAGTTCAGAGCTTTCTGAACTGGGCTCAAAGTCAAAGGTTAATTGTAATTTCATGGAAGAATGACTCACCTGAATTCTGGGTGGGTCTGATGCTCTGCAAGAGCTTTGCTGCTTTGCAGCGTGCAGGGACCACAGCCCTGGCAGGGCTGGCAATGCAAGGCTCTGTCGATGTGACAGAGATGGCAGATCCTGGGCTTCTGGTCTCTTCCTGATTCGCGGTGATACAAATAAGGCCAGGGAAAATACCAGATAAAACCCGCTGGGAAATACCAGATAATGTCTAGGTCGCAAGCTGTGAAGTGGCATTTTAAAGAGGCGAACTCAGCGCTTTTTCCGCCCAGAATTATGGTAGTCCTCACAGAGAAGCTGACTGGTTTGGCCTGATTCATCTTTAATGAAATCATGTTGCGTTTTATCCCATTTTCCTGCTCATTTCTCCCTCTTTAGCAAGCGGACGCTGTCGGAAGCCCCCGCCTGCCCCCCGGTGGCCACCTGAGGGACGGCAGGAGTCCCTCCAGCCGGGGTGACACCGCGGGGACAGCACAGGGCCCGAGGTCCTTCTCCCTGCCCAAACCCAGGGCAGATAATGCCACAAAGATGTTTAAATGGCTGAATTGGGCTATCCAAGACCCCACCGCCTCCACCACTGCACCCGATGTGTGCCCATTGTTCCTGAGGGCCCTTTTTTCCCCCAAGACCTTGGCACGAATAGTCTTTAATTCTTTTTCTTTTGAGGTGTGTTCTTGACTGCCACAGGTGGGAATGACTTGCCAATGGGCTGTTGTCACCTTTGGCTGGTGGTATTGAGCAGTGGTACCCCAGGGCTGATGACTTGGTAAGAAAAGTGGCCATCCATGGCTACCAGTGTATTATCTAGAAGGTGGGTTAGGGGTTTCTGGGGTGGTGGAATCCTTCAATTGAAGCAAAGTTCCCACTTCATGCTTTTATCAGTGGGAGTGCAATCACATGTTTCTGGTTTTCTGTTGCTCTAAATTGGATTGTAAAAGGCTTCCTTAGTGCCTCAGGCATATTTAGAATCATTTATGTGTTCTTTTTTATTTCCTTGCAGAGAAAGAAAAGGTGATACTCAAATGCCAAAGCATTTAATGGGGAACAGCTCAGGCAATGCTGGAAACTGCTTCAAATTTCTAGATGCCAAATCCATAGCTATGTGGGCAGAAAGGCCATGTCTGAGGGAGGAATGTTTTTTTTCAGACACAGTAACTCAAAGGGCAGGGGGAATGCAGAGCTTTTCAGGCACAGAAACACCCTTGAACCAGCCAACTGACTATGGCAGGAGGGTAGTGCAGCAGGGAGAAGGATGGATGGCTTCCCTGCAAAGAGCAACTCATGGGATTGTGTTCATGGCTTTATGAACAAAGTAGGAGTGATCCAGAAAAAGGGAACCAGAACAGCTCCCGAACCAAGGATGCCTTGAGTGAGGGCTTGGGCTTTGCTCCCCCAGCCCCTGATTGCTGGACCATTCATGGCTGGAGAAGACACTGCTTTTGGGTCTCCTTCCAGAAACACAGTGTGTCCCCTGCTCCATCTCTCCCAGGTGGTTTTTAATCCACTAGTTAAAAATAGAAAAGGGCAATCCCTTTTGAGCAGTTTGCAAGGACAGTGGGCTGACACCAGGGAATACCTGCTGCTTTGGGGCAGGGGATGTCAGGAAAAGGATTGTCCGTACTGGAGCTGCTGCTTCTGCATTGCAGTGCCCGAGGGAGAAGGATTAAGGACAAACCTGCAGGTGTCAGAGAGGCCCAGCTGGAAAGCTTCCCAAAAAGGGCACTGGGATGCCCAAGGCTGCAGCCACCCCTGCTCCTCCCTGGGGACCCACTGCTGGGTGCAGCCTCTCCTTCCCTGCAGCCATTCAGCACAGCTCTGTGGACTGCTGTGCTCTGCAATCCCACCACCGGTGCCTCTGGGAGGGAGAAGGAACAAGTGCCCTCCAGCAGCTTCTCCTCAGGCTGCTCCCCTCTGCCAGGGCACCACTGCCAACCATCACTGAGATGTCACCTGCGATGTCCCCACTCCACAGCACGGACACCACAGTGACATGTCAGAACATTCCACTGAAACCTGCAGTCTACTGGTGCCAGTTGGCCTTTGCCTTCTGACTGGCAGGACACGGGCGAGCTGTCCAGGGAGATGGCCATGGAGGGAGAGTTCTCCTCCCTTCGCTTTCCACAGAAACTTTGGAAAATGCTGGAAAGCAGCAGGTTTCTGTCAATTTGGTGGAGCGAGGGTGGAAAATGTGTGGCCATCAACAAAGATCTTTTCGAAGAGGAGGTGCTGGGCAGGGCAGGGCCTCGGCGGCTTTTTGACACACAGAAAATGAAAAGTTTCATGAGACAGCTGAATGCGTACGGATTCACCAAAACAAAACGGGATGACCAGAGATCTGCCTCCCTGCCTGAATTCCTGGCAGAGGAAGCAGCAGTTTCTGCTCACAGCCAGGTACAGCAGCTGCTCTGCACATCAGCTAATGCTTGGAATAATCTTGGGGGAGAGAGGGACCTGCCCAGAAGGACCTTATTAGGTCTCATCATAGAGGGCCATTTGTGGGTGGAGAAGCCACTTCTTACAAGGGGTTTCATAAAAAGGAGGGCAGAGGGTGACAGGACAAGGGACAATGGCTTTATACTGAATGAGAACAGGTTTAGATTGGATGTTAGGAAGAAATGCTTTACTGGGATGGTGGTGAGGCACTGGAACTTGTTGCTGAGAGAGATTGTAGATGCCCTATTCCTGGAAGTGTTCAAGGCTTGGCTGGCTGGGTCCCTGAGCAACCCCATCTATTGAATGGTATCCCTGCCCGAGGCAGGAGGGTTGGAACAAGATGATCTTGAAGGTCCCTTCCAACACAAACCATTCTGTGATGGAGGAGATGTAGGTGGGAATGAGAGGTCTGGTTTTCATTTTGTTCTCAGGCCGTGCTCAGGCAGGTTTGAGTTAGTCTTTCTGACTACTAGAAATGCAGATAAGACACAGTTTGGTGAGATCTGCTGAGTCTGAGCCCATTAAAGGGAAAGACAGACTCAGCATAACCTGATTTCTCCAAATGTCTTTGCTCTATGTCTTGCTGTACCAAACCTGAAACCTTCCTGCAGCACCTGCCGAATGCCAAGCAGATGCATTTAAGGAGTACAGGGTTACCTGACTGTTCATGTCCACACTGAAGCTGCTGAAAAATAGTGGTATTTGGCTTTTGAAAGCAGTTGTTCTCCTTTTGAAAATCCTACACTGCTCTGTCCCCAGAGGGCAAAACCCCAGGGGTGGCAATGACTGAACACAATTTTCACATAATGCTTTAGCCTGAGCTTTAGGTCCCATACAGCCCTCAGAGCCCTTTTCTGAGTCCATGCTCTTCCTCTTTTGCAATTCAGAGTCCTAGTTCTTGTAGCTTGGGGTTTTCCATCTTGGGATGATGGCAACTAACTCTTCTCCCTTGCCTGTTTTAGATCCTCTACTACTATAACCCCTGCTTCAACAGAGCACATCCCTGGCTGTTGGAAAGGTGCATGAGGAGAGCTGCCCTCAAACGGAGAGCCCCAGGTGCAGCAGAGTTGGGTGAAAGGCCCCTTCAGAAGCCCAGAGGGTCAGTCTGTGGAAATATGCAGGTGTCTCCTAAAGCCCACCCATGCCCACTGGCAGCTGCTCCCTTGCTTCCAGAGCCTGATGGAGCACAGTACAGATATAAAGTCTAATATAATTAATTATAGATAAAGCCTAATATAGTCGGTAATAAACTGTTTGAACAATAAGCCTTTTCCAGTTGTCCTGCCCTATTTGAACAGTGGAAAACACTGCTCTTATGTAGTTCTGTGGCTTTATTGTTCCCACTTGTCCTTTAGTGGCCTTAGCAAGACAGATGTCCCAGCACAAGCATGTGGAAATGCTATGGTAGCACCAAGAGGTGCAGCAAAGGCTGAGCTCCTGTTGGCACAGGACAGAAGGGCAGCCAGATGCCTCTTCTCCCTGAGGATGAAATGCTGGAAGAGCAAATGACCTGTGCAAGGAAGCGACTGGTTTGGGTGATGGGCAGTGGGCTAAACTCACTCTCAGGTTCTGCCTGCCTCAAACTGGCTTGGAAATACTTCACTGCAGAAGGTACTGGCTTTGCTAACTACAGTCTGTTCACAGAGGGGAAAGTGCTGTGGGGGAAAAGGTCAGGGGTGTGCCACAGATTTAATGCTGGTTGGAACCAAAGGCTGCTCTGGTGTTTTGCAAACAAAGGCATCTTTCCCTTCAGCATGTAAAGGCGGCAAATGTAACAGATATTTAGGGTTGTTCTGCAGTCTGCCCTGGTCACACTGATCTGCCATTCCTCTCCACAACGTGCAGGAATGGTATGTGGGAAGGAGAGCAGGCAGCCACCCTGGGTCTTCAGGAGGTGCAAGGCCCCTGGGACTGTAGAGCTTTAGAAGAAGGACCGGGCAGTTTTGTGCTTGCCTGTGCTGACCAAACTCAGTGCTGTCAGCAGGAGTTTCTCTAGTAAGGTTGATGTCCCCCTCCCCACTCTACTCTCAGCATGCCTGACTGTTCATCCTTTTAGCTCTTCCCATGTAACACCTTGCATGGAAATTTGATACCTGTCAGCAGGGGCAGACTGATACACTCCTCTGAGTGAGGACCCGGACTTTTTGGAACAAAGACTTTTTCCATAGGATTATAGGCTTAAAAGTCAAGGCCAAACATGACCCAGCCCAGTGATAAACATTGCTTGGAAAGCAACCTAATGGAGAGAGATGGAAACTGAGGTAACTGGCACTGGTAATACTGATCTGGTTTGGTAGGTGGGTGGTGCTGGACTGTGCAGCATTACTTGCCCGAGCGCCAGGGTCTGTGTGGCAGTGCCCCTGCTGGGTGTGGATGCCTCACACGTGGCCCACACGTGGGGAATTCCGTGTCCCAAAGGTCTCAGCTTCACTCCTGTGAACTCAGTTAGCATTTTCCTAGTACCAGTCTCTTTGCACTTTGGGTTCTGGGTTGATGCAATCGTGAGTTCAGTGAAGCCTGAACTTCTCTCACCCCTGCAGGCACCAGCAGGGAAAGTTCAGGGACTGAAAGCAGCTGCCTGCCCTTGATCAGCAAGATCAGCAGAGCTGGTGCCACTGGTACCAAAGAATTTAGAGGTGGGTTTGAGCTACATTCCTGTAACAGATTTTAGGATTTTATAATGGTTTAAGACACTAGAACCAATGTAAGTGGTCAGAGAAACTTTGTAGATGCCAAGAACGCTGATGATGGGATTCTGGCTGGATCCAGCTTGCCAGGTTTTCTCACTCCTGAATTCTTCTCCTTTAGGCTTGTTCTAGGAATGTGTGAGCTCCCTTCCCTCCTCCTCTCCTGGATGGCTGAAGAACTGTGTAGCTTCACACAGGGAGTAGCAGTGTATTCCTCTGGCACTCCAGCATATGTCCTGGTGTCACTGTGTCTCTCTGTCCCCTTGTCACCCTTCCCCTCAGCACTTCAACTACATGGCTGAGCAGTGAAAGTGGTACAAATCACCTGCAAAGACAAGGCAGCAAATAGAACATGGTATTGCAATTAACAGGGTGCTTTCTGGCTCTGTGTCCAGCAGTTGCTTCAGATCCGAGACAGAAATATTTTGTCTTGATGGTCTGAGCAGCTCCAGAGCCCAGGCTTTGCAGACCCTTTGCTTTACAACAGCAGAGACCCTCAGCATGCTGAGGGCTGAGGAGGGTTGGCAGCTCCCCCAGCCCTGTCAGCTGGTTCCTGTTGTTGCTGTGATCAGCTCCTGTCACTTTCCTCCCTCTTTCCAAGGCTCTGATAACAAGCACTGGGGCACCCAGGTAACCTTTGGCTGAGCTTCCTATTTAAACTCCCGTGGCTTTTGCTTCATTGCCTAGTTGTTACACAGCAGTAAAGATGTGTTCTGATAGCAGCAGAGGCTGCTCCCCTCCCCTTTCCCCTCTTATGCAGGATCAAAGCTCTCTGAATTTGCTTGAACAAATTTGCATTTAGGTCAGGGAGAGACTTACTTGAGGGAAAGATTTTTCTTTCTCCTGTCTTTTTCTTAACTCTGTAAGAAAGGATAATAAGCACAAAGGCAGGTGGGAGCAAAAAACTGTGGTCTATAAATAATTGGGTTTGGCACACATGGGAGGACAAAGTCATTAGTAAGAGAGAAAATAGCTGATGTGGTAGCAAGCTACATCTTCAGCTGATGTAAAGCAGCCTCTCCCCATGGAAGCAATGGGACCATGTCACTGCCATCAGCTGAGCTGCTTGGTGGACCTGTTCCCCTCTGCAGTGCCCAACCTG